CTTGGCCCCAATTATAACCTTGCCCTGAAAAGTTCTCAGCAATTTTGCTTAATATATTGTTAGTACAGAATAGAAGTTGCCTCGTCCAGGAGTTTAATTTTTATATGAAAATGTAAGTAAGATACATATGTACAGTAACAAGCAATTCAAATGTAGCTCTGTGTGAACAAGCTGATGATTTGTTTGTGAGAGGAGATGAAAATTATTCTTGATAACATAGCCCAAACATAACCAAAGTCCTTTGGCATAATACGGGGTTCAGTGGTTGTGTTTTGCTCTCAGAGAGGTTTTGATTGTTAGCTGGCTTTTGTTTTAGTTACAGGATTTCCTTGAACTACATTCACTAGTATGGAAAGCAGGAGCCGTGGACTTCTGAGCTGTAAGGAGAAGGTGCTCACCCAGATGTGTGGAGCCCAGGGTTCTCAGGAAGTGCCCCAGGCGTCTGCGGAGGGAGGGTGGCTGCGCTTCCCTACCGCTGGAGGTGTCCACCTTGGGCAGCTCCTATTCTGTTAATTATGAAAATTGACTTTATGTAAGATTTGGTTTAAAAACAGATTCCAATGCTTTGTATACCATTTGAAAGCTACCAGCTGCTCCTGTCTGTGCTTGCTGGCCCAAAACGCTGAGGTTGCAGTTGGAGACACGGTAGCCCTGGGTCCCCATCTGGGGAAGACAGTGGAGAGTCTGAGCAGGCAAGGAGTGTGCCTTGCTATGCAGGGTAGAAGGACCAGCGCCTTGTGTCTCTGGGTTGCTCCAGCCACGGCTGCAGACTGTTCCCCTTCAACAGTGCCCTTTGCCCCGGGAGGACAGAGAGGGCCTCACCTGCAGGAACCCTGGGCCTGGAACGTCCCATCTCAAAGCAGAGAAAGGAACCAGCGTGAGAGGGATTTTTGCAGAGGAAATAATTTTTCTTTGCAAAGTCTCTGTGTGTGTATGCAATAATAACACATAAATAATATAAAGCATGAGGATCCAAGGTGGAAGGTGATTGACCAATGGATGAGGAGAGCAACTGGAGACCGGAGAATCCAAATTAGCAAATGCTTAGTTGCCTGGACAGATGTGCAAAGCAGTGTGCGAGAAGAACTTACAAAAATATTTGGGGGCTATTTCAGTGTTGTTTCAGTAGATAACTGATCAATGGTGAATACTTAATAATTAAACCATTTTTAATAAAATGATATGGTAATAAGGGAAGTCGAGTGTCACCTGGCTAGTCCACCTTCAGATGGGTCCCAGATGTCCACCGAGGGGGAGTTAACGAGGCGGTCCTGGGAGTGAGCCCAGGAGAATGGTGAGTAGTGTCTCTTTCTCCCCAGCTGCAGCAGTGCAGGTAGTGATGTGTGCTCTTCCCCTTTCTCTAAAAGAGGGGTCCACCCTGGAAAGCTTAACTACCCTCTGGAGTTTGAGAGTTCCCCTTGGATATATGGGGGCGTCATCAAACCCTTTCCGAGTGCCCACAGCACTCACACGACAGGCCCTGCTCCAGCGCTGGGCAAGGGTGGATGCCGGCAGGAGGGGGTGACAAAACTGAAAAGGAAGAACACGTGGGCCCACATCACAGGGACAGCCCTCAGGAAGCTTAAGGTGTCTTGAACTGGCTGGGCCAGGGAAAGATGGGCTGAGGCCCTGCACTTGGCAAAATTCCTGGGCGCACTTCAGTGCTCTTTCTGGGGGCTGGGGTTTGGACTAGTGCTCGAGTCAGCTTTTGCCTGTGCCTACAGTGACCAGCTCCTCGGGGAGCCTTGCCATGCCCTCTTTGTTGGGGACAGGGGTTGGGGGGTGGGGGGAGGGGCAGAGGTAGTAGGACATAAGCCCAGACCAATAATAACCCCTTTCCTTCTAAACTTTCTACCCTTAAGAGTGAATTGACTGGAGTCCCCAGAGGGCTTTTGGCCATCAGCACTACAATTAGGAAACAGAAAAGCTAACCAACAAAAACATCGAAACCACAGACAAAATTACCACTCCGTTCTAACCCATCCAAAAAAAGGCGCCATCCAGCCAGAACTGATCCCGGCCCATGACTGGTCTGGCTCTCTGAGCTCCCCAGAGAAAGATCCCCAGGCCCGGAGGAGGTGAGCGCGGCTGGGGCTCCCACAGTTCCGTCTGCCCAGGAGGCTCCTCGTTTACCCCGAGCACTCCAGAGCACTTCACAGCGCCCCATTGATTCTCAGAGCATCCCAGTTAGGACCATCAATTATACGGTCTTTAAACAAACAAACAAACAAACTGCAGAGTTGACTCCAGGCCTCCGCTGAGGGTCTGCAAGTTGGCCCTGAAGTCTGACTCTTCCCATGAGACTCTTCAGCCAGAGTCAGCAAACTCCAGGCGGCAGGTCCAATCTGGCCCTTGGCCTGGTTTGTGTGGCCCACAGCTAAGAATGGCCTTTGCGTGTCTAAAGAAGAATATGTGAAGGAGACCCTATGCGGGCCTGAAAAGCCTGATATAGTTACCGTCTGGCCCTTTACAGATGAAGGTTGCTGACTCTTGACCTAGCCACCTGGTGTTGCATTTTTGGGTAGAAGGTCCAGATGCCGGGTCATTACGAACGTCTTTGGCTCTGAAAGTGTGTTGTGTATCTTCACCCTACCTTTGGCAGTTCAAGCCCCGCAGAGGACCTGATGCTGGCAGGCACATCAGCGTTTGCAGAGACACGTCACCTACCAGAGACTCCTGTGTGATCACCAAAGGCCTCAGTGGAGCCGCCCTCTCTGTCTCCTCACCAAGGGTCAGCGAGGGATGAAGGCCAGAGCCCCCTGCGCTCCAGCGGGGCTTCTGTCCCCGTGCCAGGCAACCCCGAGGCCTCGGCCCTGCCCGTCTCCCAGACGGCCCCTGCAGCCACAGGCCCCTTCGATGGCTCTCTGCCATCAACGACAGCCTGCTGCCCCTCAGGCCCTCAGATACCCCAATTACTTAATGTCCACTTTTACGCCAGTGTGCAGGTGTGTATGCGTGTGTGTGTCCAATGCTATGTTTTTAAAATATTGGTTTGAATCAGCGGTCAGCCGTTTCAGAGATTTACGTGTTTAAACCTCTGGGTGTCGGGCCTCCGCTTCCTTGGGTGGGCGGTCTGCGTCTGTGCTGAGGACGCCTTTGGGGGGGGGCGTGCCTGCCATTTATAAGGATGTGTTCACCCACCCCTGGGGTTGCTTCTCTATCACGAGGGTCTTCTTTCCAGAATCAACCCTCAAGTCTCGGTTCTCTGAGATGGAGGCCAGTTTGGGGGTGCAGTTCTTGGAAGAAGCAAGAAAGACCCTCATGGTCCTCTCCAGCTTTGTCACTGCCCCTCCTAAGTGTGACTTTAGGAGACGCACTCAGGCCCTACACATCCTCACCCACCGAATGGGCCGCGACATCCCTTCCAGCCCGACCCCTGACGGTTTCAGCGCGTCCACGCTGTTGTCTGGAATGCTCTTCATTCCTGTGAGTTTATGAAGAATGCAAATAGTGTACGTGGTGCTTTCTCCAAGTTTATATTTAGAAACCTTTTAAAGATGAATATGCTGGCCAACTCTCCCAAGTGCTCAGGGCCCGGCTAGAGACCCTGGTTTCTCATTCCCGCTGGAAACACTAAGGGCCCCTTCAGTACAGCCGTTGACGGGGGACGGCAGGGTCGAGGCCAGAACCCAAGCTTTCGGACTCGTGATGCCACTGGGCAGCAGAACGCACTGCTTTCATGGCCACCAGAGGATTCACCTAAAACACGAGTGTCTCGTACAGGTGGGGGTAGAAAAGCACCTAGCACTGCCTAGCACACGGCAGATCACCAGTAAACACTCAGCTGGATTGTTCAGAGAGCTGGATGTTTGTGATTCTGGGCACGTGGCTCTGGGAAAGTGTTCTTTTCTTTCTTTCTTTCTTTCTTTTTTATTCCAGACATCTCTGAGGTGTCTGTCTCACAAGTCAGAATTGTAGGAGTATAAAAACCATTCCGAATCTCAGCACAGACATTCATTTTTAAAAAGTGTAATCTTTCCCCCTTCCCATTTCTATGAAGTCTGATATTCTCGGGAAAGGCAGTTACGTACGCAGCTCGCTTTTTGCCTCTGCTTGCTCGGGGTGCAACTTTCACGCGCTCCCCTCCCGGGGCAGAGCCACTGCCGCCTTGCTCGGGGCGGGCCTGCCCGAGGGGAGCCGTCTGGCTGCAGCTCCCCTCTGCCTCCACTCCCCCTTCTGAACTGGGAAGTAAAACATCTCCGGAAAGCTTCTTCAGGGGGCGTGTCGGAGGACCGATGGAAAGAGAGACCTCTAGGGAGCGGGCTGGTTTTGCTGGTGACAGGGTGACTAAGCGGTTAAAAGCGCTCAGTGGCATTTACAGGGTTCCCACCTTTGAATACACCAAACCGAAAATACGCTTCAAGAACAAGTGTTCAGATCGTGAAACATGGATTCGGAACACCACGCTAAGTGAAACAGGCCGGAGAGAAAAGTGAAGAACCAAACAATGTCAATCGAATAGGGGATATACAACTGAAAGCAGTGAATGAACAAGCCAGAAGAACAAAGGAAAACTCGGGCACAGGCAACAGTAGGGTGGTGACCAGAGGGAGGGGGCAGTGGAGGGCCGTAAAGGGTAAAGGGGGTCAGGGCGTGGGGGTGGGAGAAGATCTGACTTTGCGTGGTGGGCACACAGTGCAACATGCAGACGGTGTATCATGGAAATGTACACTTGAAACCTGTTTCATCTTATTAACCAATGCCGCCCCAACAAATGTAAAAATAAAATAAAATATGCCTTTAAAAGAATGGATTCAGAACAACACTGGCCCCTGTGCTTCAGCCCCAGCACGTATTTTCTGAGTTATAATCAGCTGCTGTGACAAGTTGCAAAGCCATTCCCCAGCCCTTCCTCTGTGTCTTCCAGCCTCGTCAGCTCGGCCGTTGACCGTGCCCTGTCCCTCTGCAAACCTGTGTCCTGTCTGCGGAAATGCACGGAGAATCACCCTCCCCGCACCTGACTCCCAGCAGAGAAGCAGTTTAAAATAGGACAATCTCAGTTTTGTTTTTTACTACCTTTATTACATTTTTGCATTTGTTACAAACCACTCTCTTATACCACACAAAATACATCCATTCTTGTGATTTTAAAGTGCATTTCCTCTTTCGCATTGTGTACAAAAATATTTATTTTTTTAAAATGTGGAAATTCCTTGACAAGGCACTTGCAGGCGTGCACTGAAGCTGAGCTTTCAGTTCTACATTCACATCGAAGTCAAAGTGAAACCACATAGTGACTGTTGTCATGGCGGCATCTGGGAGTCCTCCTGGGCCCAGCAATCTCTGGGCACTGATAACAAACAGAACTGTAAAAAACGTTCCTGGCTTCACAGCCTGGGCTGCTGTGCTTTCCGACCCCGAGGAGGAGGAGCTGCCCAGAGCCACAGCCCCCTGTCCCACCCGGGCTGTGTCCCACTTCAGGGAGGGAAAGTGGCTGCCTAAGTGTTTTCTGATGACCCTGTAAGATGCCATTCTTTGTTTCACTTCTCCGCAGTGTCAGTGATCACATCCGAAGAGACAAGCAGATTGGGACCTCCTGGAGCAAAGAGCCGCGAGGCCTGCTCCGGCGAACCACATCCAGTCGTGGGGGGGCGGTTTAAAAGAGGGAACAAATGAAAAAAACAACCAAGGCTTTCATTCCCTGTCCACTGAGAGCCAGAAAATGGGCATTTCTAAAAAGTGAGCAAACAATCCCTTTTTGGGCTTAAAAACACATATACAACCCATTTAACATCCAAGTGACTACAAGTGATGCTTGTTTTTCAAAAGCAAATTATAAGCAAAGATCAAAACCACAAATTCGTTGAGCAGTTCGAAATTTACAGCTTTAAAAAACATCGAGTCTTGTTTTGCCACCATTAAAATTAAATCATAGAGAAAAAAGAAATTCTACATTGATTCTGAAATTGTTTTAATTTGTGGAGAACTACGTAACTCCATTATTTCTCACCAGCTATGCTATACCAAGAATGCTAAAAAAGAGCGAGAGGAAGAAACCCACTCAAATGCTTCATCTCTTCCAAGAAACACTGAACGCTTATTTATTACATCTTTATATAGTCCAGCTTATTTATTGCACCTAATTTGCAAACGCTAACCCAAGGCATTTTGGGGAATAAATAAGAAACAAAAATGGAGCTGCTTTCCCATTCCCGGACCACCAGCCCCGCTGCAGGAGGCTGGGCCCTCTGGGGCAACTCAGGAAGGACCCCAGGACTGGGGGCCATTTGTCATCACAGCCAAGAGCTGTGTGAGGGCCCAAGCCACAGGCCAGGTGCAGGGAAGTCTACAGCTTGGAAACCTGCCTTTCTCTGGAGCATGGAGACCTGCGAGCAGACGGAGACCTACGGAATGAGAGGTTCCATTCAGGCAGCTCTTGAGGCCATCTGATGACAGTCAGGGACAGAAGGGGACAGAAGGAGAAAGCCTGCTTAGCAAACAGGAGCTGGTATCCTTCAGAGGCTCCAAGCTCACTGAATGGTGACGCGGACAGGGAGCCGGGCACCAGACTCTTCAGTCGGAGCAGGGTCTCTGCGAGCGAGCGGGCGAGGACTTGCCTGGTGGGAGAGGGTCCCAGGTGCGCTGGTTGGGGGCTTGCAGCCAGAGCTGCCAGCAAAAAAAAACCCCCCAAAACAAAAAACAAAAACCAGGGGAGGCCTGGGACTCAAGAAGGGGAAGGGAGGGTTTACAGCTGTTTTAAAAGAGATGCTTATCGCTGAATCACCCTATTTCAAATTTTGACACAGGAATGTCTTAGGATCACTGTATTATTGAAAACTGCAGAGAAGTCACTCGAGGCATTTTTCTCAGGCACACAGAATGATCTCATTACCTCTAGTCTGGTAACATGAAAGTGCGGCTCACACCTGTCCAGGCAGGGCAGGGGAGGGCGGGGGAGGGAGGGGACTTCTCAAGACAAAATCAATTCACGACCTATATGAAACCAGGTTTGCTTCCATTCAGTTTAGATTTACGCTCTTAATGGCTCTGATCAACAAGATTTGTAACACAAAGTACTCTCTGTGTGCTTGATGTGAGATACGCTGAGATAAATCAGTTTTGCCCAACTTCAGCACAAGGTGAATGTGATTTTCCCATAAGTTATATTATCGTGGAATCCCTCAGGGCTGCCCACCTGGCAGAGGAATGAAGAATAAAGCACTAGATTGCAGACTAGTAACAGCCATTTTTAGGAAGAAGCATTACATCGAACACCACTTAAAGAGCGCTTAAAAAGTTATAACATTTTAAAGTTCATAAAAGAAACAAACAAAAACAACCACCACCAAACTCCAGGAGCCAAGCCAGACACTCCGTCCCTGCCTGACACTCACCCATGCAGAAGCAGGACGTCCTTCCTCCGGGGCCTGGAGGGTGCCAGAGGAAGGAGACTCTCGGCTTCCAGAGTCCCGGGGCTGTGCGCCTGCCTCCGGCCTCCCTTAGGGAGACCTCGCTTGAGTAAATCAGGCAAAAGGAATCTGAGAGTGTTGTTTAATCTCCAAAAACAAAAACAAAACAGAACCCTCCCTCCACCTTCTACAAATACACATGTAAAAATATTGTAAACCACCCCAGGTACAAGCCAGTCCCGCCCAAGGAAAGTCCCAGGGTCTGGGGAGCCCTCTGACAGTCAAGGTCTCGGAGCCTTACAACAGTAAAAGCCGACGGGTGTTTAACCCCTTAGTCCAACGCGCTGAAGAACAATCGACGTCCGACGTTTCACACTTGCAAGATGGAGGAGAACTTAGTGAGGTTTTTCTCCCCTCCTCGCTTCACATAACCATACTCACATGCCATAAATAAGAACACCCAAGTCAGAGCCCCGGGTGCACGTAAAGTGTCCTGGACATTGTAAATCACAGTCAAAATAAAAGCAGACATTTTCGGAGGGCTCTGGGGAGCTAGTGGATCTGCAAGTCCAAGGGTCCTGAACATAGCGTAAAGGACGACTCTCCAGGAAAGGTGATCGAAAGTCCTCGTGTGAACGAGGAGACGCGTGCGGAGCCGCCGAGCGAGTTAAAGCACCCCTGTCGTTGAGCCGTCTGGCAACTCAGGATAAGGCTGAGTACTTAGCAAGCTCCCCCAAAAGCCAAGAGGAGAAGCTGAAAGTGTCCCACTCATGACTGTCCTGCTGTCACAGACACAGTCTATGCCACTGACCAGGAGCCAGTCACGCTGGGTCAGAAAGGGGAAGTGCCGGTCTGACAGGCTGATTTGCCTTTCTTATCTTCTCCTGCACATCAGACAAACTGTTGAAGAAAAACACACACACACAAAAATGCGCACAAAGTATGCAGAGCCCATGGACACAGGACAGCAGCAACAGGCAGGAAGGGCCTGGCTGGGTGGAGAACACCCAAAGACGAACAGCCAGGATCCACAAGGTGGCTGGGGGCAGTGACATTCAAGTGACTGACTTTCCCCAGTGGCTCCTCCACCCAGCCCGGGCACCCTCCGAGTTCCGTCCTTATGAAGCCACCATGCTCCAGCCTCGCCAGCACTGCCTGCAGGCCCGGTTCCTGTCCAGACCCTTCCTGGCAGCATCCTGCCCAGATGCTGCGGCTGCCACAGGTGCCAAACAGACCAGCACACCGCAGCCCCTCTGAGCGCGAAGCCAGTTCTGTGATCTAGGCCGGGCTGGGCTTGCTGGTTGAAGGAAAAACTGCATAGGATCCTTTCTTTTCAAAAACTGTGCCTAACGGCAGTTCGGCTATTCTCTTGGCTTCCCTCTCCTCCCACCGTGAGGGCGGCTAGGCTTGTCTGCACCTGCTGGGCCAGCCTCTGGCACTCGCAGTCACTAATAGTAGGGTCCTAGCTTTTCGTACCCTAGGTAACTAGGCCACTCCGGAAACAGGCCATAGGAACAGCGAGGGCTTCCGAACTGGTCAAAGGATATTCCAAAATCTGGCCCACTGTGCAACTCGGCTGTCCCCTGCGTGGATTTTAATTCCGCCCGCGTGATCCGATAGTTTTTGCCCTTGTTGCTGTCCCAGTACGTCTGCCCATTGCACTCGTAACACACGGCGAACTCCATCCTTTCGTACGACTGGATTTTCTCAGGCAAGCGGATGTCGAAGGAGAACGTGTCCCTGTCTGAACTAGAGTACGTGTCCTTCACGTACCAGCAGGGAAAGTCTGTGAAGCTTTTCCAAGTGTCGAAGGTCATCCTTATTTTCACCGTCTTCTCAAACGCGAGGTTCTGCACCTTCACTGTGCCGGCGATGGCTTTGTCCTTCAGGACACAGTTCTCCAGGCAGACGTGGTCGGTCTGAAGCCGGTTTCTGAAGTCTAGGTAATCTGCAGAAGGCTGAGGAAAATCCAAAACAAAGCTCTCGCTCTCTGCTGTCGTCAGACTCACAATGTTGTCTAGGAGCTCGGTGATGTTGAACGGAATATCTAACGGGTCATCAAATTCCGAGAACACTTTGACCATTGTCAGGGCCAGCCCCTGGTTGTCTGCAAAGGACACTCGCTTTTTCACCTTTTTCTCCTGGATGGTGGGGGCCATCACTCCGCTGGCTTCATTCTTGCTGCTCAGCTGGATACAAGGCCTCAGAGGTTTGCTTGGCTTCGCCGAGATCTTGAAGGCGAACCTCTCTCTGCGCAAGGAAGGGGCCATGCAGCCGTACCTGCACTCGATGTCCACGGCCATCATCGGATCAGGGGGATAGGCGAGAACCCTGGCAAAGAGAGGGGCAGAGAAAGAAACAGCAATGAGATCAGACCGATGGTGCTTTCCTTCCTCTCTGTCCACGGGCGACGGCTCAGCATTAACTCCACTCTGGTCCAGCCGACCTTGGTTTCACGGGAGATCAAGGGTGTGAAGTGGGGGTGGGGAGGAAGAGGTCCAAGGTTAAAACAAACGAACAAAAAAGTATGGAACCATGGGTTGTAATGCTAAGTTTATAGGTTTTGCTGTCAGGATACTTTTTCTGTAATGACATGCTATGAGGATTAATAACAGAGCATACTATTTGCAGAACTGACCAAACTTATCTGACTAGGGAACCCTGACTAAGGAGCATCAAGCAGGATACTTGTTCTGAGGAACATACTTTGGTAAATACTGCTTTAATCAAATGAAAAGAAATGGATTCATTCCATAAATATTGATTAGTGATTACTATAGGCCAGCCATTTCGAAGAACACTGGACTTCAATAGTGAAGACAGACACAAACCTACTTTCATTAAATGTACAGTAGGTTTTTATAACCCAGTATACCTTTCTTTAAAAGAAACAGCAAGTTAGTACTTCTAAACTTTTCATATAGGTGAGTTTTTGCTTTTTTCTACAGTGAAAATAGCCTCTATAAGAATAACAGCAAACAGAATCATTCTAAAGATTAGGTTAAATCTGACTTATGAATACTGTATTTTTCTTAAGTGAAAAAAATTTGAATCGAAAGATTAAAGACACACTTGGAAAACATACTATAAAAATCATGACAGCGAAGGGTTAGTACCTTCATATATAAAGAGTCTTATAAAACAATAACAAAGTCAAGTATTTCACATTCAAAAATAAGAAGGCACGCGTAGAAAATTCATGAAGAAATTTAAAAGTGGCTCATAAATATGCAAAATTTCCAACTTTGTAAGTACTTTAAGAAATTTAGATTAGGAAACAATGCCCCTTTTTACCTACTGAATTAGGTAAGAATTTTAAAAGATGATATAAATACCTGTATTAATCCAAATTAGCACACCTTTTCTAAATATTCTTATCATTTTTGGTTCTAATAGTGCATTCAGGTCCTTATCTTAAGGAAATAATTAAAAATGCATGGAGAGGCCCTGGCTGGTGTAGCTCGGTGGATTGAGTGTGGGCTGCGAACCAAAGTGTCGCAGGTTTGATTCCCAGTCAGGGCACATGCCTGGGTTGCAGGCCATGACCCCCAGCAACTGCACATTGATGTTTCTCTCTCTCTCTTTCTCCCTCCCTTCCCTCTCTGAGAATGAATAAATAAAATCTTTTAAAAAATGCATGGAGGTTAATGCACTAAAATATTCAATGACAACATTATGGGGGGAAGGGTGAGAAAATAATAAAATGATCAATAACAGGTATTGGGTTAAATCAAGTGTACCACATCCATGGTATGAAATTTTATATCAACCCATTATTTGGAGAAAGATTTGAATGGCATTAAGAAAATTGTTAATGTAAAAAATGGAAAGGACAAACATGTACATAGAGACGAGGTCCGTGGGCAAAAATCGTATGTATATTATGTATATTCACAAAAAAAGGACTAGAGATACATTCAACACTGTCAGAATATCCAGTGGATGTGATTTCAGGAAATTTCTGTTTTCTTGCTTACATTTTCTAACATAATATCCCTCCCCTAATCAGAATAAAGTGAATCTAAACCCACAACCCTCAAATATTTCAAGATTTGCCAAAACCAGTCAACACAATTCCCTCACTAAAGCTGGGCAATTTTTTAGCTTTCTAATTATTATGGTAAATTTATGTTCTGATTTGACAGTTAAAATGGGCTAATTGAGAAGTCAGTGAAGAAACCAGGTTTCGGATCTCTGGTCTGGGAATCACAGACTCGGGAACAGATCGGTTCCCAGACATTCCTCCCTCACCAAGACAAGGAGGTGGGTGTGTGGAGCTGCATTGGGGGGCTCCCTCTCAGGCCTCCCCGAGCTCCCACCCCTCGGTGGAGGCGGCAGGGTGATGGGTCTTTGAGGAGAAGTGACAGCAGCTTTTGTCCAAAATGTTGCTCAGAGCTGGGACCACTGGTTAGGTCCAATAAATACAATCTCATTTTTACCTTCTGACTTTGATTAACCAAAGACAGTGAAAACCATGACAAAGGACAAAGACATCACAGTTTGACCCCATTTTCCCTAAAGAATTACAGCGCTTCCCTAGGATGCAGGAACCACTTAGAGATGACCAACTAAAGAAACATACACATTCAGAGACAAATAAAACAATAATTTATAGCCATAATGTAGCTATCTAAACATTCATTTTAAAGGGTATCTGTCTTACTGTTTCCTCTGTAACAAAGTCAAATGAGTAAAACGATGAGGGCCATTTGCTTTCTATTTCCATTCTTACCCCCCTGCGACTGTTCTGGAAAGGAGAGTTCCCACTGAGTTGTGCAAGATAGCTTTTAAGAGTGTTGACCAACAGGTTCAATGAAAAAAAGGAATCCCAAAAAACCCTAAACTTACGAAGTCTTTGAACTTAGTTTTTTTTCCCTGGTCCATTGCAAAACTTTGTTAGAATGTCCTGGAATTACCTCTTCAGCTGTAACTTCAACACAGGTCGTTTTTGTTGGTTTGTTTTTTATTCAATAGGAATGAAACACCAAGCAGGGGGCAAGGCCTCGTATCACAGCCCCTCCCCCTCTGCCCACCCTTGACAACCTGGGTATGAACGGAGGGAGGGGGCTTCCTCCTTGGCCTCAGCAGCTTCCTCCTTGCCTGAGTCAGCACAAGGTCAGCTACAAGTTCCCTCTGCCCAGCCAGCCAGCCTCATATGTGCTTTCCCGCACAATATCAAAACAGCTCATTAGCAAAAGGCTGGGAAGCTCTTGAGATAGTGTGGAAACAGTTCTAAAGCAAGGGAATCAGTTGAAGAATGGAGATCTGGTTAAGTTACACTGTTTGGACCCAGAAGTAGAAATTTGCCTGGGAAACCTTTTAGCACAATGCTGTACAAACTAGTGAAACTGGGGGTCAGGAGGTGAGGCTCCAGTTGTAGCCAGAGCTAATTAAACAATTTCACTGGCACTTTCTAGAGCCTCATCAGTTTTGCAACATTCTTCCACGAAAGGCAAAAGCAAGGTTAACCACCTGTAGGCCCAAGGGTTACTGCCCCAGGGGCGTTGCACAAGCCACTCTGCCCAGAACCCCTTTACTTTCTCAGCGTCACCACAACTGGAGGTGTGGACATTCACCCCTGCGGCCGATAGGATAGGATCTAAGATCAGATCGGATCTAAGATAGGATCTGACCGTTGCCCACTCTGCCTACCCTCACACGTAGATTCCTGTTTTGCTAACTGAAACATTCTCCAAGATTTGGTCATGCAAGTGCTAGTCTGGTGTAGGCATTCCTGACACACCGCTCAGGGATTCCCCCGTGGACTGTGACAGGGGTGACCATCACCCAGAAGCAGTCCCAGCAACACAGTATTAGTTTCCTGAGTCCCTGGACAGAAGGCACCTGGACAGGCATTGTGACGCTCACATGGCACAGAAAGACCAGCCCCCGTGCGGGACGCACCCTGCTGGACCGCAGGCTCCTCCTGACAGACACGCCGCTGATCCAGCCCTTGCCTGTCCCGGGACCAAGGAATGTGAGTCACTGAGGCTGGCCCAAGGTAAAAACTGAACAAGATGCACATTTGACCCAGTGTGACACAGGACCTGGATGCCAGTTCGTGGCAGGACAGGACCACGAGAGCATGAGAGGCTGTTACTCAGACCAGAGTGGATGCTCAAAAACTTTGCTTCCAAATAGGTACCCGGGCTCACTTTGGCCCGATGAGGGCCTGGGCCATGCCCGAGGGTGGATTTCAGTGCTCCTGGTCAAAAGCTAGCGAACCCCAACACCCCAGGAAAATCAGAGAGCACAGATAGCTCTGCATAAAGGTTTTCCCTGTCCCACTAATGACAAAGAACACACCACCTGAAGACAGCTGGCCGGGGCTAGATGTCATGGTGACTTTTCTAATGAAAACTATAGGCTTGCAGAGAAAATACACCCGACCTTCAGAGTGTCAGCTGACCGACTGACTTTCTGGCCATGCCTTTTATAGGAAGTCTTTTTTTTTTTTTTTGTCTTGAGACCAAGATATTTCTGTATTTCCCCCTCCATTGCCTTTCACTTTGATAAGTGAAGACAGACAAATAAGATGGACCAAAGCTCCCCCACCCCACCCCTGGAACACCCAAACTACATTAGGTAAGCAGTCACAGCTGTCTATAATTTTTCTAAAACCCTGGCCATCTACCCCTTCAGGACACCTTTATCCCCTTCCAAAAGGTCCGGTTGGCACAGTATGAATAAAGCTGGCATCCTTCTCTTTGTACTCTGACAATGGGGCCCTTATTCATAGCCTTAAAAGCCACTTGGATTCCTCTATCTTGTCAGACCATCCAAAGCATCTCTGAGATGAATATCTCTGGAAGAGGCTGTGCAGTGCAGAAAGGGGATAAGTTAAAATGGCACAGTCCCTGCCGTCTAAAAATGTCACGCATGAAACAGCGTGCAGGCCTAGACATGCCACTGCCCAGCTGCGCCACTTGCTCCGAGTCACTCAAAGTCTCTGGGCTCCAGCTTCCTCCTCCGAGGTCCCTTCTGGCTTTGACACGCGTGGTTGCCAAAAGTGCCTGATGATTCTTCTCATCCCACTAACTTTCCCTAAACACCTCAGCTTCACTTTTGTGGTAAGGCCTCCAGCAGGCTTCCTCCAGGTCTGGCTCCTGGACAACCCTGCCCAGTGAACCATTTCCTCTCTCCTGTGCACCCCAGTTCAAAGCCCTGGGGCTCTCTTCTCCTGGACCCTGGTTCTCCCAGGGAGGCCTGGCCACAGAAACCACAGGCTCCATCACCTTCTAGAAACTCTCCAAGTTCCCAAGTCAAGCCTCTCCTCAATTTTCCTCCTTTTCTCTAGGAAACGATGCCATGATGAACCCCAATCTCCTAGTATGTGGTTCTGGGTCCTCTACCCCCTCTTTTGCAGCGAGTCCCTCCCACACACCTTTCTCTGTGTTCAAAGGAGTGGAACACCCAGGCTGGGAGATCCTACTGGTCATTCCAGCCAGACCCTCTGACCCACCACCCCAAGCCCTTCTACAATCCTCTTCCCAGTCGGGCACCCACCTTTGGGGCCAAGGGGCAGCCCCCTCCCCAGCTGGCTCGCTGCTTCATCTGCTTCGTCGGAGAGTTCAGAGGGAGGTGGCAGGGGCGGCTGCCACCGGACTACGCTGCGTTCCCGGAGGAGGAGGAGCCCAAGTTATTACACCAGGGCGGGGTGGAGGGGTAGTCCTGGCCCGAGCCGCGCCGCGCGAGCGTCCCCACGCGGCCGCCTCTCCCCAGCCGCCCCATAACAGCCGCAGTCTGGGAACCTGAGGCCAGAGGTGACTCGGTTTCACGGACCTCGGCCACCGCAGCGCTCTATGTCTCATCTCCCTCGGTGGCCAGAGAGACTGTCAAGTGTGTTTCTTTGCGTTTTACGGGGAACCGAGTCCGGAGAGAGACGAATCGGCTTTTTCTTGTGCTCCAGACCCCACCGCCCAACTCCGGCGACCCAATCCAGGGACAATAGAGGGTAAGGGTATCTGAAGTCCCAGTGCCGCGGGGACCGCACCTCGGTGTAACACGTGGATACGGCCAAGTTCTATCCTGCCTCTCGTCCCCGGATTGCACGCTCCACATGGAAGCAACAGCTTCCCGAAATCTGTCTAGAGTGTTCCACCCAGGAGTATAACCTCAAGTTGGACGGAAAAAGTGTAGACGGCAGGAACCAAACAGGGTCTCCGCTGCGCACCCCTCGCCGCGCGGTGTCTGCAGCCCTGCGCTCGGACTCGAGGGCTGGGGAGGACTTTACCTGGTACAGCTCATAAGCCCGGAGGTGCAGAGGCGCCAGCCTGCGGCCGCATCTGTGCTACATTGGCTGGAGCTGCCGTAGCGACTGCAGCTGCGGGAGCCGAGACTCAGGTCCGCGCCCTCCGCCGGCAGCCGCATACGTCCGTACACAAGCACACGGCTCACCCCCTCCCGGATCCCAGCCACCTGGGACTCGGGCTCCCAGCTGCCGCGTTGCTGCTCCCTTTAACTTTCTGGCCACCTCTCCCTTCTCGGGATGCCATCCCAGACCCCCTTTCACGTGAACGCCCCCCGCAGCCAATGGGCGTGCCCAGGACCGGAGCGGGGACCAATTGCCACGAGGCCACGCTCCAGGAGAGCACCGCTCCTCCACGTGATCTGCGGAGCGGCAGGAGGGATAGGGCTGCACTCCCGGGGCTGGGAAGGGCGGTGGGTCACCGTTTCATCAGAAGCCTGGGCACAGGCTGCAGGGGTCAGAGGCTCTTTTCCTACAGAGGAGCATGCCATTACAGCAAGAGGCTTCGGCATAAGCTGTTTGCAAAGTTCCTTCTCTAGGCAAAGTCCTAGCGGGGCAAAGTCTTCTTACACTGTCCCTCTGGCCTGCCTTCATCGGCACACTTTACCCTGGGCCTCGCAGATGAGCAAACCTTCCCTTACCACCTGCGGAGCCTGGAGACGCCCTGAGAAAATCCTTGTTTTCCCCTCCTATTTAGATGGCGTTTCTCTGGGTAGTCATTCCCAGCTCCTGAGATAGTGCCCTCGCAGTTACTGAACGTTTGCTCGGTGCCCGTCGTGGTCCAGGTGCTGCTGAGATAGGAATACAGAACAGTTCTTTTTTATATGGTTGTTATTGGGGCAAAGCACCAAAGCCATTTCACAGGGGGCCAAATGTACATAGCTGAGGGTTTCTCAGATAGGTACCATTCACTTTTTTTTTTTTGCTCACATATTTGAGGGAAAAATAAGGGTGTGCGTTATACATGGGTATGACGATTACATACCATGGGTATAATAATCCCATGTGTAATGCGCACAAAAAGGTGGATGTGTGTTAGACACAGCAAAGTAGGATGTTTTGGAAGAAATTACCTGCCTTGAATCTGTTACAAGAATGACTTGGGCATGATCTCTGACATATCTGAGGTCTGTAGAAAATGATGAGATCAGAAGAGACCAAAAGCCCTCCCTCTCCTATGCGATCAATAAATACACTCTTATATGGTCATATATAAAAACATCTCTTTTATGATTAGCTTTGAGAAGGTCACTTTAGGGATAAGGATCCCAGTTTTCTAATTTTGATGAATTTTGGAAGTTGATATTGGGGTTGTCACCTTTTTAAAGTGCCAAGTAAAGACACTGAATTTTTAAAAAATAGCCTTACCATCTTCAGTTACTATCTTTTTATTTAGGAAAAAAAAAAGTTCTCTTTAACAGCAATCACAACAACACAATGGAAGAAGGACATAATCTGAGAGTAAAGACCAGTCCATTACATTGAATATATTTATGAAACTTCATTCTGTTGAATGTGGTATTTAGGAAATTCTGCTTTAAGGGATAGAAGAGCATACCCTGATTGTACTAGGGATCTGAGACTGAGACACTGGTCTGCTACAATAATCCAAGACAGGCCTTTAACTTAGAGAGAGTGCTTCCCCAGACATGGTTCCCCTGTCTGAAGGGCAATCATTAGCCCTCTTCCTTCTCTTTCCATGGGCAAATCTGATAAAAGACCACCTACGAAATCACCTATTGGTAGGTGGTTGGCAAAAAAAGTTTCTGTGCAATAACCCCGTTCCCAACTCTAAACCCCCCTTATTAGCTGATGAGTGAGTTGAAGATTTATTAAGCCAAGCGTTGGCTGCGTTTCTCCAGTGCAGTGAGCATGCTGAGTGAGTGCACACAGATAAAGAGCCAACAGGTATTGCAAAATGTGTGCAGGCAAAGGGTGATCTGAAGCAAACTGGGCAGAAGCTGGGACAAGTGAACACAACTTGACAGCATTTGGGTTGGGAAGCATCTTCCTTACATAGATCTAGGAAACCACGAGTAATAATTTTCCTGGTGGTTTTGGTCACTATTTCAGACCAAGAGAGTGGAGCTAAACCCAGCTGTAGTATACCACAGTCTTGGTAGGTAGGAGCGTGGCATCTATGTGTTTGAAAAGAGCACAGATTTATTTGTGATCAGAATAGAGCTGGGGTGCAAGCTTTGGAGGACTGTTCCAGCAGAATTCATAGTAGTCCAGAGCCCCAGAACCTCACAGCTGGACTGGCTCTTCGACATTGAGATCTTGCCTCACTCTCTCATTTTAGAGCAAAAAGAAAGTCAAAATGGACAATTTCAACCTGTTAGTCAATGCATACCAAGTTCATTGATAACATTTGGCATTTTAGTTTCAATTTCATTCAATAAACCAACTGTCCCCTCCTCAAATAAACCAAAAAGACTAGCAGTGGCTAATCATAGCTAATTATCTTATTCCCATAAACTCTCCTTTTTTGTGTCTATGAGTGGTAGTGCTGTCTTTTTTATTCCTTAAATGTGGGCTCATCAGTGACTCCTTTAGTCCTCGCTCACACACTTGTCCATTCATTCAACAGCACATTAGCGAGGAACTACTGTAAAGCTGGGTGCTAGATATGGAAAAATGAAACATATCTTATTCTTTTAGATTAAATAATGAAGTGGGATAAATGTATGGAAGGTGAATCTCTGTGTTTTGGGAGCTAACCAGAAGGCTGGGCACGTGTGGCGGTGGAGGTGAGTGTGGGAAGTAGGGAGGTCAGAGAGTGTTCCTGAAGGAGTGAGCACGGGGCAGCATCCTGAAGGGGGAGTTGGAGTGTAGGAGTCATGGGAGAGGCCGTGCTAGGAATCTCTCCAGGCTCCCCCAAAGGATTCCCACTGTGCTGATTAAAGCAATGTTTCTCTATGCACGTGTTAACATTAGCTCCGTGCTCACCCAGAAGGTCTTCAAACATATTGTTGTCTTATCTCCTTTTCAACTTAATACATTTCAAAGACAGCCCCAACTGAGGTCCTATCTTCATCCAAGATTTTAGAAGAAAAGTCTTTTTTTTCCTTCTTAGAGTTATAATATTGCCTCTCTTTAAACAAAAAAAAATATGGCAGAGCAAATCTAAATAAAAATACCCAGCACCAAGAGTCGGAACTAAAGAAGAGAACATTCTTGTGCCTGATGAGAATAGAAAGAGGGAGAGACGTTCCAAACTGCCTGAGTCGGTTTATATTTAGACGAGTGAAGTTGTTTGCACCTGTTAAAGCTGCAGACATGTTCTGGGCGCATCAGGTTACCCGGGGCCCTCTGCCCCTCTTGCAGATTTGACTGCACGTGACTTGCTAGGTCATGTTTTATGGGATAGGCAGATGAATACTTTAATCGAGGGATTCTGTAAGCCTCTATCTATGGAGGATGCATCCTAGGTGTGGGAGATCTTGACTGGTTTACATGTCAAAGATCTCAGAGCCCATCAGGGTATTTTCCTCACTGTTGAGGGCTTTTGGGTTCCTGGGTGAATCTGATGTGGGGATCACTCTTTAAAGGCTATGTGTACAGAGCAGCTTTTATTCCATAGCTTCATACCTTGGGCTGTGCTTTGTACAAACCTGGTATAATATCTTTCATCTGTGTTGTTTATTACCTTTATGACCATAAAGCTAATACAAGATCATTGTAGACATTGTGGAAAATACAGGAAAATGTAAAGAAGAAAATAGAATCAGCACCACCTAGAAATAACTACCAATATAATTCACTGTCTTTGCATTCAGTATTTACAAGTACTCTATGCATAAAAGTTAGAATATCATAATTATATACTTCTGACTACTTCTCATTTTTTAGTGTATTAACATTATTATAATTTTCAGACATTCTTTTTTAATAGCTGTGTAATATTCCTTCATATAGAGAAATTATATTTTAACTATTTTCTTATTGTGGAGTACTTAGATTTTTTCCAGATTTTCTCTATTATAAATACATTTTGATAAGCATCTTTATATGATATCTGTGTCCACATCCCTGATTATTTCTTAAAACCTATTTCCCACAGAATACAGACATTCCTCAGATTCTTGATTTATATTGCCAAATTGTTTTTAGAAAGATCAGTATTGACTTTTTATTCCCATTACTGGAGAAAAGAGTTAAATAATCCTAATAGGGTCTTGGTTTGTGGACTCTGAGCAAATTAGAAACCTCATCTGACAAAAAAAAAACCTGGCTATATGGGAATTTTGACAAATTAGTCACATACTCTGTAACTGGGTGAAAATAGATACATTTCCTCATTTTTTGCTTTAGCTTTGAATCTCAAAGTACACGTCCAATTTGGGTCATGAATGGGGACTTCATAACCCATATTATTGACTTAAATGGTATTAAGTGGTGTCTGGTCAGAGAGAAGATGGAGAGGTTGGGAATGAGGCACTACCGCTGTGCCACAGGCTTAAAAAGCAGAACCTAGTATGTATTTATCTTCTCTGCTCACTCGATCCTGATTCGTGACTGGTGTGGTCATAAATTATATTTAAACATGTAACAGTATACATATGATGCAATGTATAGCATCCAGAATTTCACGACAAGTGGCATGGCTTTTTGTGCAAAAGAACATGTTGAGCTGCTTTTAGGATTGGGACAGGCCACTTGGCAGCCACATGCCTTGTACCTGAGGTCTGGGCGGTTTGTGCTGCATGCCTGGAGTCAGATGCCTCGGATACAGCCAGTACTTCGGGGGTTTGTGTAAGCAATTGTATTTCAGCTGGTTCCATCCTGTGTTTACAATACTGCCTGGTTCCTACTCTTAGAAACAGGCGATGATATAACTCATATTAAGAAAACAATGACTCACTTGATAAATGAGGTAAAAAAAATAAGTATTTATGCACCGTGATTTTAAAATGTGCACCACTGTATTTTCCAGCAAGCTTTAA